TTTTTTTAACATCTACGCCTGGAGGTAGAGGGGGTGCTGATAAGAGCAGACACTCCCTCTACCTACCCACCCTTGGATGGACCTACCACTACTCCTAATTGTAGGCATACGGGGAACCCCGTAGCAGCCAGCACCGTGTTCACGAGAGAACATGCGGGGGCTGCTCCCGACCTGCAGGTGTTCTGACGAGTTTAATATCTGAAAAACTGAAAAAATAAAAATAAAAAATCATCAACTACAGATGGTGGTACATCATAAGGTTCGGCATCCCCAACCCGAATCATCATCATCACTACGTATAAGTTCCTGCCTGTTCCTGCCTGTAACAAGCGGACGATCGGGGCCCTCCAATATTTTGCTGCACGACGGTCCCGATCGTCTGCTGATCGTTTTTTCGTATAAGTTGAACCGTCGCCAGGGCCAGTACTGGTCCTGCATCCCAGTGCTGGCACCATGCTTGGTACCGGGCCCGTGCACCAGAGCCGGTACCACACAAGGTATTGGGCCCCCGCGCTAGCACCGGTACTGTCGGACGTTGCCGGGCCAGCGCCAAGCGGCCACACGTAACAAACGTTTTGCGATTTTGGGAGGCCGTGCGGGAAAAACCGCGTGGCCCCACACCAGCCCTGCCCTCCAATCGACTTTCGGCTACAGCGCTCGACTCCGACTGACTTCTACGCTGCTATGGTCGACTTTCTACGTTGAACACACGTGCACGCTCACACACAGACACACACCCGCACCCGCACCCGTACGCGCACGCACGCACGCACGCACGCACGCACGCACCCACGCACCCACGCGCACACACACACACACGTGAACGTGGTACACACGTGAACGTGGTGAGTCCTTGGCCATCAGTACAGTTCGTCTTGGGCGGACTGTCGGGGTTCATCCTCCTGATGAGTCGGTGGAAGTCCGACGAAACAGTCTGGCTGAGTCGTTTTGTGAGTTCTGTATAGCGAACAACACTCACACACACTCAGACTCACCCACACAGAACACCCACACACACACACACACACACACACACACACACACACACACACCCAGGATACACCATCTCTGCATCCTGAATGTTGGACGCTGAGCCCTGAGTTGTGCACCGTCAAGGCTTTCCAACGACCGCACCTTGATGACTGACGGTGAGTTTGTTATTGGTGTCTGTTGCTTTCGTTTTTTGTGGTCTTGGAACTATGAGAGAGAGAGAGAGTGCGTATGTGTCCGCGTGTCCGCGCGCGCCTGTGTGTGTGTGTGTGTGTGTGTGTGAGAGAGAGAGAGAGAGAGAGAGAGAGAGAGAGAGAGAGAGAGAGAGCCCAACCTACCAAACTGTCCGCCTTCTGCCCCCCACCCCCACACGATCACGTGTAGTATTTGTTTTGATCAGTTTCATATCCGATCCTATCTCCCATACGATCAAGCGTAGTAACTGCTTTGTTCAGTTTCATATCTGATCCGTGGTCCATCGAGACCTGTTTCTTTAATAAAAGACAAAAAAAGCACGCGCGCGCGCGAGCGAGCGAGCGAGCGAGAGAGAGAGAGAGAGAGAGAGAGAGAGAGAGAAACTCTACCATCCCCCCACGATCAGCTGTAGTGTCTGTTCCGGTCAGTTTCATATCTGATCCGTGGTCGATTAAGACCTTCAAAAAAGAAGGGAAAAAAAAGCGGAAAATCCGTTCGCGCACTGATCAGTTTAATGGAGAAAAAAACAAACAAACAAGGGAAGCATGAGCGATTTCGGAAATAAAAGAAACCGGAAATACAAGCGATTTCCGGAAAAAAAATAAATAAAGCGAAGTTGGCACGTGCACGCACGCAGCCGCAAGAGGTTAGACGCACACAGATAAATATATATATATATATATATATATATATATAGAGAGAGAGAGAGAGAGAGAGAGAGAGAGAGAGAGAGAGAGAGAGAGAGAGAGAGAGAGAGAGNTATATATATAGAGAGAGAGAGAGAGAGAGAGAGAGAGAGAGAGAGAGAGAGAGAGAGAGAGAGAGTGAGAGAGAGAGAGAGAGAGAGTCCAACTTCTTGGTAAACATTCAAGATATGAAGGTCCCGTAGTGATGAAGAATCTCTCAAGATATGAAACTTGAAGAGGTAAACTACTTTCAGCATTGCCATTCTTTTTTGTGGAGAGTGGGACTCGGCACGAACAGTTACACGAACAAAGCCAGATACATGACAACAGCAAGGGAAACCGTGACCATGCCAAAGTGGCGTTGCGGAGGCATTCTACCTGCGATATTATCGATCAATGAAGTGCGTTGTGCTCCCCCAGTGCACTTGTGGAGCAGCTCTGTCTTCACACGATAGTGGTAAATCCAATCTTGAACACCGACGAACAGGAACTCGTCGTCGTCGGAAAGAGTGACGCAACGGACAGGTGCTTGCGATCCGTCGCGATTGATGCATGTGACCACCACCTGCGACTCGATGACGTTGCCGTCCGATCGATCGAACTTCAGCCATCGGATGACCCCACCCTGCGCCTCAGCCACAAAGAGATTGCACCCATCTCGTGTCAACGCAAGAGAGTAGGGGAGTTCCAAGGTCACAGGGAAAGGTGCTGAGGCAGAGATCGCCGCTCTGCGTGCCTGTGCTGGAGGTCCAGCTATGGTTTCCGTCGCGCCTGTCATCGTATTCACTCGCCTGATGGCATTGTTGCTGATGTCAACAATATATAAGTAACGCCCATCTGCGGAGACTGAGCGAGAGGTGATGCCTGGCCAATCGAATCTCACCTCAGACCCCTCAGCGCCATCTGAGAACCCCGTGGTCAAATTGTACTGCGGTGTAGTACTCGGGCCAGCAAGCGTTTTCAATTCGAAGTGCTGATGTTGACGATGAGGACGTCCGATCGTCCGATCCACGCTGGCAACGGCGGCGATTCGATCTGCCCATGCCACATAGTACATCGAATCTGGCTGTGAATCCGCCAGAGTGGGACGTTTGGAGATTCGGTACGGACCTAACTCGCGCTGATCGAGTCTCAGTAGGATGGAATCCGCCGCGAGAGCGAGAGAATCATTGGAATTCTCTTGTAGGTTTACCTCTCGAATAACCGACTCCGTCGCATCGGCGACAAGCAATCTGCTATTTTGGTTCTCTAGCAATATTCCATACAAAGGTGTGGATGAGTTCGTGGAGTTTCTTTCGAGCAGCGGGCGGAAGTTCCGGAAAATCGTTAGGCCCTTCTGATAAGAGACTTGGAATGTGTGCACTCTGCTCTGTACCTTGGTGACGGTCTGTTCCTCCATCCTGTCAGTGAGCTCGTTCACGTGGAAATCGACATCGTACAATCGCCGATCAGATTCGTTGTACGAGACATAAACTTGAAGATCAAAGTAGTGACTCCCCAGCACCGTAGACTGGCTGTCGCTGGGATCAACGCCAGCAAAGGCGTTTACAAATTCGAGCATCAGCTGCTGATCCTCTGTAACTTCGACGGTACAAGTCGACAGTGTTGGGGGCGCTTGTAGGGTTGACCGTGGGACCTCCTCCTCGCCTTCCACAGAGTTCTCATTCAAACCATGAATGAGCTCAACCCCAAAAATCAACCCTGTCATGTGCGGTGAAAGCAGAAGCAGAATGCCTGTCATCACCTTGAGAGCAAGCGTTCTAAGGAGGACAGGAAGAAGGCGGTGCCTCGGCGCAGCTGTGGAGATGGCGATCAGGGTAGTTCTCCCAACTCCTTGCATTTTTTTTTTAAATTATCTATCTATCTATCTATCGATATATATATATTTATATAGCCCCTCGTTTGTTGTCCTCTTCTCTCTCTCTGCCTACGGTTTACCGGGCAGTTCTGTTTGTGACGATATATATATACCGTGATGCTTGCAAGATCTGTTTTGACACTCCGCGACGAACCAATTATTATCACCTACTGTAGTAAATAATCGGCGCTTGATCTTCACCACGATGAGACTACTAGGGGTAGCACCGAAAAAATCACGGCTGTCATCGAAAGGACGAGCGAGGCACGGTCGGCGGTCCTCGTTCACTTGCAAACCAACTACCTAGTACCTACACAACCATACGCCTCGAGATGACGTCAGGAACAAGAGCGTCAGAAAATTGGATCTAGCGAAACGCATCAGTAGACCGGAGGGGGTGCCCTCCCTAGGAGTCCGAAAATGGATCAGGAAAAATGGGATGTATCAGAAAATGGGATGTAGCGGAAACGCATCAGTAGACATCAAGAGAACTATGCGAGCAGTACACATATGTAAAACCTGCGAGTTTTTACATGGATCTGTCAGCTGGTGTCACTCTCCACCAAAAGACCGGAGCAACCAGAAAGCCCGCTAAGAAGGGGGGGGGGGGGGGGGGGGGGGCACATATAGCCTCCGTGAACTGATCAGAGCCACACACTCAAAGAGAATCCATGCCGAGAGGGGATGCAGATGCAGGTGCGAGTTTTGTTACGGTAACCTACAAAGGCTTAACCCAGACTAAGGCAAATGAATCGCACTGCTACAAGCGGGCTGTATACACATTTTGTCCCTGTCGTCATTGATTGTCGGCACTTGATCCCGCTACCTTTGTCTGCTGTGTTGCCTGTTTGTTTTCTGTTTCTGTGTTTTGAGCCTTGCGGGACTTGATCCCGTGACCTGTAACCTGTGTGTGTGTGTGTGTGTGTGTGTGTGTGTGTGTGTGTGTTTAGTTTGGACCATTTCTCGATTTATTCTTGTCATCCTTGCGCAGGGGCCATTTTGCTAATTACCCTTCTCTGTATCGTTCCAATTTTAGCGGATGTCCTGAGGGACATAACCTGTGGGTTTTGTTTGTGAGTGTTGAGCCCTATGGGACTTGATCCCTGAGTCTGTTACTACCCTCTTCCCCCGAACATAACGCACCCTGATAATGACCGTACACAACCTACATTTCCGGTCAGGTTCACCTGATAATGACCGTACACAACCTACATTTCCGGTCAGGTTCAGCCAAAATGAGGGTGCGTCGTGTTCCGGTGAAAGACGGTCGTAGGGTCTGATCCCACCACTACACTACGACTTTAGTTGTGAAAAAGCACTACAAAGATGTCAGCGGCCGTGGCGGGACGAAAAAGAAAAAATTGGATCCCACCAGGGCGACTTCTTCGGTGCTTTTCCTGAACCCGCGGCGGTTCTTTGTGGACTGTTGCAGAGGGCAGCCAATCGAAATGCTGCAAATGGACGAAAGACAAAAAAAAAAAAAAAAAAAAAAAAAATTCCCCCCTCTTTTTCGCTGCAGAGATGCCCTCACAGCCTACACAAAATTTGTAGCAACTACGCTTGCACCATTCGCGGAGGTGCTGCCACGACACATACAAACGGAAGTATGGCAAAATCTTTCGGCGGCTGCGACGAAGTCGAAAAGTGGTGGGATCCGCAAACTACAGTGTAACTGGGCTGTAGTGTACAGAGATGAGCATTTTTTCTTTTAAATGCCACTTCACCCAACCCACCCAAAATTTTCTTAGTACATGCCACCCTAARAAAAAAAAVAAAAAAAAAGGTTYGAAGCTCATCCAACCCACCCAAGCATTTTTTTGAATTTTTACGCCCACGCCCAACCCACCCGCCACSCGTAWAAAAGGTTCACCCAGACCCACCCGCACCCACAACAAAATCATTGCCCGCCCGCACCCGGGATGTAGTATCTTTTCACCCGCAGCCGTCCGTGCCCGCTATTGTCTATCCCTTCGAACATTTACAGACAATAGGATATTATAATGTGACATGACAAAATCAAACACGCTCACAGAGAGAGAGAGAGAGAGAGAGAGAGAGAGAGAGGCATAGCTCTCTCTCTCTCTCTCTCTCTCTCTCTCTCTCTCTCTCTCATTGGTCTCTCTCTCTCTCTCAGCGTGTGAAAAATTTGAAAGAAGGTTCCTGCTTTTTTTTTCAGGAGGACCTCGACTTTTTTTTTTTTCCAGGCAGGCCGACGGCGGGACTTGACGCTTCTTGCGTGCACCTTCGACTTTTTTTATATGGGTGGACATTTCGTGCAGGGATTGGGGGGAGGTGGGGGTCCTCATGGGTTGTCCTAGGTCAGTGGGTCGGGTGACCCAGGCCTAGCACTCACCCACCTGTCACCCACCCACTCGGGTGACCCAGGCCTAATGTTGACCCACCTGCCACCCACCCAGGCTACCTGGCCTTGACCCGCCCTCATCCCACCCAGGTCACCTTATCAAGACCCGCACCTGACCCAATGTTCTCGTGGGTGGGGTGGGTGCAGGTGGGTGCGGGTCTGGGTACCCGGTGCTCATCTCTGGTAGTGTAGTAGTGGGATGAGGCCCGTAGTCTCTGTTTGGTAGTCCTAGGCCATTCGGCCTTTTTTCCTTTTGCTTTGTCATAGGCCTAGGTTCCCTTTTCCCCTGTTTCCATCTACATACAAATTAGTCTTGGGTTGTTGCTTTTGGGAGTCCGTCGTAGGTCTAGGCAGAGGGTAGAAGTAGCGGGCAGGACAATTAAGTTGGGTCTTTTCTCGTTGCTTTTGCTGGGGAAACTCTGCCTGTTCGTGGCCGAAGCGTTGTTGCGTTATTTTGGGCGAGGGCATCTTCCTGGGCCACGAAGTTGGAGATTGCACTGCTGCTATTCCTATGCTGTAGGAGGTAGGAGGCTGACATCTTGGGTGGTGGATTGGCCGTTTGGAGTCCGTTGAGGCCAAGCCAATTGCGCAACGGGCACAGTTGGGCAGCATAGGGCGAGAAGGTGGCATAGTAGCCGGCCCTATGTTGCGGGTGGGAGTTACAAAAAAAAGGGGAGAAACCAGGAGCAAAAGTAGCATATCCCAGTCCCACATGCCCGGGTGAATATGCTAAGAGATAGTGGAGATAGGTTTCTCCCGTAACCAGCTACCTCTGCCATCCACAATGTGGGCGTTGTCCTGTTCAATGCAGACTGTCAGTTTGACGGTGGATGATTGGGGAGGAGGGAGGGGGGTGGGGCAGGGTGGGGATGGCGAGCGAGGTTGCTTGTACTCACCTGTGTGTTCAGGGAGAGGGGGCCAGGGAGGAAGAGGAGGGTGGGGGGAGGGCAGAGTGTGTGGTTGGGGTTGGGGCGCTGGGTGAGGTCATCCTCACTCGCGTTTTTTGTTTGTGGCGGTGGTGGCAGCCTGTGTTGCCTTGCGCTCATTGAGATAGGGGTCCACGTTCAATGGTTGGATATGTATCACCCGCGGCTGCGGCCGCGGGGTCGATCCCAGGCAGCGGCCGAGATCTCGGCCACAGCCGTGGACCGCCGCAGATAGGCTGTGGTCACGGGATTTCAGGGATTTTTCCCCGCTGAGATAATGGGAGGAAAATATATTGTCCTCTTCTCCCACTCTGCCTACGGTTTACCCGTCAAATGGTTTACTGGGCAGCTCTGTTTGACTATATATATATATATATATATATATATATATATATATATATACTTTTTTTGGTATGACATCCTGGCTGGTCTTGTCCCGTTGTTTGGCCTGTAGTTGCGGGGGGCGGTGTTTGCATGTGGGACTTGTCATCTAGGATTGTCATTTAGGATTTGCTTTGCAGCCCTGTTCTGTTTTGTTTGGGCTGTTTCCTTCCTCTTTTCTTTGCCTCTTTGCCTTTTGGCTGTGTGCAAGTGGGTCGATATGACACA